CCCAATATTTTATGTGAGTCAAAATTGCTCAGAGAGGCAGAAGCCTGTCTCCTCAGAACATCAACTGGCAGAGATTTATTCTCAAAAGCCTGACTACAAGAATAAAATGCTAGGCATGGTACAAATTTCTTCCTAAAAACCAAACAGAACTCTTTGTGTGACGGCTGAGTCATTACTTCAGCGAGCAGAAATAAAATCCCTAAACTTTGATTGGCTCAAAGGGAGGTTTTAATCCTCCAGTCCATAAAATTCTAGTACTAATACACAACTTAAAATCATTTGGCTTAGGGCTGATTCTCCAGGGGATGGCTGTACTTTAATAGATTAATCTAAATACCTTCTTGATCTTCAAAGGTTACGTAGGCGACTCCTTTATTCCCTGTGGGATAAGTCACTTCTTCCACGTCTCCACCGTTATTCCTCGACTTTTGGAAGTGGATGGTGAGGATGTCAGCCATGACATCATCCTGCAGAAGGCCATCTGGGACACCAGCAATGACAACTGTCCTTGTGGATTTGGCAGCTCTTCCCGTTGCCTGTGCAGAGATGGCACATGGTAAATGCAGGGAATACCCGTGACCTGCCGTAGGGATCACCCACATTCATCCCAATCCCTGGAGTGACTCCCCTTCCCTTTGCATTTAGCAAGTTAATTAAAGCTGCTGAATCAGATCTCAGTGCATGCCAGGCTCCCTCAGGCACCCACATTGCTGTGCACTAAAAAATGGCCTTAAATGTAATTTACACCCTCTCAGGATCTTCTGAAAGCGGTAAAAATTAGCACTAAATTCAAGTTTCTCAAGTGGAAGGTCCAGTGTCACACTGATAATATTGCTTCCTCCAAATCTAACACTCAAAACGTGAAGAGAATGAAAACTGTAATTGCATGGACTGCTCAGTCAGGATTCCTTCCAGAGCGGAAGGGTCAGATTCCGACTGTCCTTACTTGTTAAATTCACAAGACACGGATCTGGGGTTGTGCTCTGACTCATCTCTCTCCATTTATTAAATGGATAACCTTGTTAAATTGGGAGAACATAATCCCAGTCATCCGAGACTCGCAGTGCATAAAACAACTAACTGCACACATGATTCTCATCAGAGCAAACCCCCAGCACAGCAAACATGAAACCCATCCTAAATAGGCTCTGCATCCTTGTCTTGCTAAGAGAAGCATATTTTCTTCCCCTTCTTACTACATGGACATAAACAGCAATATTTCACTGGGAATATCAGGGCAAAATCACTGTAAATACTGGAACACTGACTAAATTTAGTAGCAGTTCATTGGCTTTCTGGAAGAAAGGAAATAAATTTAGTATGTCTGAGCTGCCAGTAACTTCAGAGAGACTGGGCTCGAGGTCAGTCACTCTGTGTAAATTCTTTACACTTCTCTTAGTTTTTTTTCTGGACCTGGGCTGCATAAAACATGAGGGCCACAAAGCAGGATGTGTGTCCAAATCCCTGGGGGCCACCACGAGGAGACAGATCCAGCGAGGCTGTGCAACCATGCAAGCTTTTAATTCACAGAGACACCGGGCCTTCTTTTATCACCCATCAAACTTAAAGAGCCAGGAGCTTTAATTATATTAGGCAATTATTTTGGTGGTAATGTTCGTGTGAAAGCAAGTCCCTGCACTAATGAGACAACACGAGGGGAATATAAACATGGTGCTCCCAAGATCCATGCAGGATTTTTCTCACGCTTCCCGAGCTCTCAGCTGCCAGACAGCATCTTACACCTTGCCAGCTGGTGTTTGGGAGCAACACTCGTGCCTGCTATTGGGGTTAGGGAAAAAAAAACAAAACCACCACGAACGAACCGTGCATTTAGTGCTGAATCGCTCCCGAGACCAGTCCGTGTGGAGCAGCTGTTCCCGGGCAGAAACACCGGGAGGGGCCGCGGGGATGGGCAGGAGGGAGAGGGGCAGGAGCTCTGTTGTGTCAGTAACCGCTGACAACGGGCTCCTGCCTGCGGTTTCCTGGCAAAGCTGCTCCACGGATCATGGAATCACAGACTGGTTTGGGTGGGATCCTTAAAGATCAACCAGTCCCACTCCCCTGCCAAGGCAGGGACACCTCCCACCAGCCCAGCTTGCTCCAAGCCCCGTCCAACCTGGCCTTGGACACTTCCAGGGATCCAGGGGCAGCCA